CCGCTGGTTTGCAACCTTCCAACGTGGAGTCTGGACTTTTTTAAAGAGAGCTACGACGGTTGCCTAACCTCTGCATGGGGGGCGTGGTTGCGCACAAAGACAGATTTGACAGGTTGCAGAGGCTATGTGTCAGATGCATAAATTGGACTTAATAAAACAGGAAGAGTTTGTATTCAAAGGGAATTTCTAGTGAGACAATTAAATTTAGCTTATTTCATCTACCTGATTTTTTTTTTGTTTTTTTTATCATTATCTAGAGTCCCACGTTCTCTAACAAGGCTGAAAAGAGGCTAAAGACGATAGGAATCTGCTTTAGAGAGATTGGAGTTGCAGCTCAGAGGGAAACAGTACAGAAACTGTTTGCAGCTTTGCCTCATGGTTCGCTTGCCAACACTAATTCATTTTTTATACAGCTGGAGATCCAAAAAATAAAAAAAATCCAATCACTTCCTGCCTTAAGGTCCTAACTTTCCTTCTTTCAAACAATTGGAGAGTTTTCCTGTGACAATTTTATAACTTTTTTTTTTCTAAAGGGATATTTCATCTCCTCTTTTTCTTCCAAATCCTTTTACCTGCATGTGACTGATCACAGACGCTGGTGATTCTGACACTGCTGAGTGATCAGATCCTTTTAATCATTTAAAAGATTCTGTCTGACAGTTTTCCATATAAATCCTGTCGGACTTTTTCCCACCGATGTAAAAATGAGTTTGATTAAAAACGCAGGCACTGTGGGGGGCTCCCTCTCGCTCTCTCTCTGAACTGCAGGATGTTATTTCAGGCCCAGAATTAAACATTAGAAAAACACTTATTTGGCCATCTAAGGAAGTCAAATGGGACCTGGGCTAGATAGTGTTTTCTTACAGAGTACAAATGTCCAGCTGTTAGATGGAGCTGCCCAGTCTGTTGTAAAGACAGAAAAGTGAGGTTCGGAGAGCAAAACTGGGCTGTCATGCTGCTGCCTGAGCGAGACTGTGGGGATTCAGTATAGGTTCGTTTAGAAAACATACGAGTGCAAGCCTAGTTTTAACTTTATGGCATCAATTCTTGGCCTCTAAAGCCTGATTTCTCTGCTTGACGTGAGATCAGATCAATGTGCAAGCTCAAAGCTGCGCTTTAAGTACACAATGTCCTGCAGCTGTAATGATGCTCCGCAGAGCGAACTGATCAATGGCTCTTTGAGGGGCTGGAACCACTGCCCGGCTTATACAACCTCTCATATAAGGGCCGATTTGGCAGGCAGGACCACATCTGGGCCCTGAGGTCAATAAATTATTATGGAGATGAGAAAACGGTAGTTTTACTGCTCCATCAATCCTGATTTCAGAAAAAATAAATAAATTTAATGCAAGAAGTAGAAAACAGCTCTGATATGAAGCCAAACTGTTTTTAGAAGAGGATTCCCTGAGTACCATGACTTTTCTGGGTATTTGATCCATCCAATTTTAGTTTTCTGCTGCCATCTAGTGTTCATACTCAGAATCACAACTCAGAGGCTGAACTACAGTCTCCTTTAAAAAGGATTTACATTATTTTAAAGAGAGGAAAATATTGCAAACCGAAGGCTTGCGGGCAAAATCAGATTTACAAGATTAGAAACATGCAAATTTAGAAGGAAACAAGCAGCAAATGTAAGAGAATAAATAGGCAAATTTACATGAAAAAACATACCAATTTACGAGATTATAAAGATGCTAATTTAGAAGGAAAAAGTTGAAGATTTACGAGACAAAAACAAAAATTTGGCGAGTGGTGGCCTAGTGGTTAGGGCATAGTTTGGAATCCTGAGGTTCTGAGTGGGAGCCCCACTCCCACAGACTGCCACTCTGGGTCTCTGAGCAAGACTCTTAACCCCCGATATCTTCCCGGGCGCCCCACGAT